GGGGGGGGGGGATGGAGAGGAGGGGGAAAAGGGGGAAGTCTCCTGAACACTGATCTTCTGTTCCTAGTTGCTGCAGTAAGCCTTATTTTGGTATAACAAAACTGGCCATTAAGATCTATTTTCTTTTTGTTCTTAAATCCCCAACCACTTCTCTCTTGCCCCCTAACAATCCTATTACTCTTTTTGCTCCAAGAAATGGTGAATGTGCTGTTCTTTACCTCCAGTTTAAGGCACTTGTTTCAACCAAGCTTACTCAAATTGAACTCTGGAAAAAAATAAAGGTCTTTGTTTGCTTATTTTCTCCAGTTTCTGATGATCATAAACAATGAACATAGAAACGGCTCACCAATTACCACAGCAAGTTTTTTGTTTTTAAAGCAGCAATTTGTTGCCATGCACAACTATTTTATAAATGTTATGTCTGCTTTCTCCCAGTTAAAAAAAAACAATTCACATAGAAGAAAAGAAGAATTAAAAATAACAGTTATTGCCAAGATACTGCCTTGCACTAGAAAATAAAAATAAATAAAAAATAGGAGAAGAGATTTCAACTTGGCAAGAAAGACTGTTTTGTAATGATGAAAAATGCTCAGACTCAACTGGATTTAATATAACCAAGGTCACTGTACCAGGATGAAAAGAAACCTGACCTAATCCAAGACAGCAGGGAACAGTAATTTGAAGATTGAACCATACGGCTATTTCAGCACTAAGGAGAAATGCAGAGGTCTCGGCCTTATGGAGAAAGCCTACAGAAAACCACACGTACCACTCTAACCTTATAAAAAGCAAAAAATGAGAAGTTACTCAGATGTTATTAATTTTCCTGGCCAACCATTTATTTCAGACACACACATTCTTCTCTCACCAGCCTTCTCTTATATACTTTGAACAATATTTTCACCTAACAAGAATAGAAAAGAGTTGTGCAATAACATTAAAGTTCACAAACATTTATCTTTAAGCATTTCCCTCTAGAAGTTTTTTTTATGTAAACTCTCACACCCTCAGGGCCTTCATTAACGTGGAATTTACTACTACGAGAACCTCTGAACTTGTTAAATATGGGTCTCTCTCATATCTGTTTCCTCTCACCGCTTCCCGTTGGAGGTAACACAGAAATACAGCAAATTCTTTCAGGAGACCGAGATGCTGAATGGCATACACTCAACAGATCCAGAGATGAGAAAGATTTCACGCATTGTCACAGAACAGAAAACTGGAGCTCAAATGGAAGAATCAGCAGCCATTGCCACTTCTTTGGTCTATGAGGACCTAGAAGCACAAGCTGAAATTCCTCAGGCTTCTCTTCATCCACACAACTTTATCTGTTTTGTCCAGTTTCCTGCTCTCTTGGAGCTGTTCCACTCTGTGCAGACTCCATTCTATAGGCCACCCACTGCTTCTTAAAATAAGAAAGAGATCTCATTAGGCATCACTTCATCGATTGCGTGAAATCAGGGAAAACCCACAGACTTGCTTTGAAAGTCACATACTTTCAAAGGCTTAGTGTTGAAATCATAACCAACGTAAGGTGTATAATCAATGAATATTCAGATGTTATAATTATGAAATAAACAAGAGAGCTTGGTTAAGCAGTTATTATATCAAAAATAGAATAAATAGGAGTGCTTACCCTTGTCCTGGGCTTGCTATGAAACTCCAAAGGAGTGATCTCCTAAAAGAGATCCTTCCCCACTGGTAGCCAGCTCTTAAATGGGTCTAGGATAGGTGCAGCCATGCTCCACCCCTTTCAACAGCAAAGGTGAATTACCTTCATCTAAATTGTGCTCCCAGGGCTGACTCATTGCTTGCCTCAGGTGATCAATCAGAGGTTCAGGCTGTGATTCAACAGTTTCCATATAGTGAGAAGATGATAGAAAAGGTAACTACACTATTACAAGCCTACACCATTTAGATGGGTGTTAAAGTCAAAATGACCCTCAGAAGTTATAAAATCACCAAGAGACATGTATTAAATTAAACACACCAGAATACTACATATCAGCTCTCAGAGCAAATATTTCATACCTACTTAGGAGTGCAAGCAGGCTGTCTTTAAAGCAGTCCGCTAAAAAAAAAAAAACAACACCAAAAAAACTCACCAAACAATTTTATGATGCGCACAAAAACAAGCACCAGGAACATTAATGGTCCCTTAACTATCCATCTGCTTAATTGTGCAAAAGTATTTACCTACACAGACAAACGTTTTCATGCTTTAATCAGAGCTATCTCATAAACTTCACAGAACTGAAAGTTAGGGCGTCTCGCTGTCACCTTTTCCTACACATCCAGCACAAGTCCATTCTGATACTGATTGTTACACACACCGTGTTACACTCTATTTGAGAAGCCATTCATAAGAAAACAAAAACGGGATATCCGATTCAACAGATTTTGTTCTTATATATATTTAAGAGTCACTCTTTCCAAATTCTAGCCATTGCCCTCCTCTGGCTCACCAAGCAACACCATCACTGCAAGAAAGGCAGCAGACACTGAACGGCTGTGAAAGAGAGTTGCACTGTGAAGTGATGCTGTAATAATCATGGTTTCAGGCAAATTACGATTTCAAAAGCTTTGTGCTATTATCTTCCAATAGGCCTAACCACTGTACAATGTGAACATCACTGGATTTGATACTCTCCAGAGGTCCCTTCTAATGCCTACAAACTGTGATTCTGTTACCATCTTCTTACATATCCAAATGCAGTTTTAAATGAGCTTGGAAAACAAAATCTCAATTCAAGCCCCAGTATCTCCACTGCCCTCATATAAGTAGCAAGACATCTATATTGGGATGAGCTATGGTTTTCACCACAGGAATCCCCTCATTTTCGAGTAGCATTGATGAAAGCATTTTTTGAGACGAAAGTTGTCCTAGACTGAAGGTATTATTAGCATAGCTGATGTCAGCAAAGCATACAACAATCAGTACATTTCTAAAAAAAAACAACCCTAAAGCTGCACGTGTTCCATGCCTAATTCAGGAGAGATTTGTGATGCCTTCCAATGCCTACGAAATTACCATCAAAAATTCATACTGTACTCCTAACACACAGCTCACTGCCATTTCACATCATTCAAATCTCAGAATTCCAGACGTCATTAATGAACTAAAACTATAAACCTCCTCACATGGAGTTTGAGTGACAGTAAACATTCCACACAGATCTACTAATGGTAAGAATCTTACTTAATTTCAGCTTGAAGATAGAAGAAATATCCCTTTTCTTGTACTAAGATCAGTCCTGTTTGGTATGATACAAAAGCAAGCCTAGCAGGGAAACTAAAAAGAAACACAGCAATAAAATAACATGCATCAGCAAAATAATGAGAAGGTGAGAAACAGAGAAGAGCATTTACCACCAAAACATCACACCCAAAGGGATGTGTTGTTCACAGAATGACAGCTCAGCTTTATGGATGCTGCTGTCTCAGTGGTTCGACAACTGCAGAGCAGATGTTCCATAACCTTCCATTCAAAACTGTTTAAAGCAGATTCCCAGCATTAAAAGCATTCAGTAAGCAGAAACATGGTTAGATGCTGTATGAGACAAACTGCTATCACAGAACCACTAAGGTTAGAAAAGACCACTAAGATCACTGAGTGCAGCCCACCCTCTCCATGCCCACGTCCCTCAGTGCCACATCCACACGGCTTCTGAACACCTCCAGGGACACCTCCAGGGACGGTGACTGCACCACCTCCCTGGGCAGCCTGTGCCACTGCCTCACTGCTCTTGCTGAGGAGAAATTCTTCCTAATACCCAACCAAAACCTCCCTGGTACAACTTGAGGCCATTCCCTCTCGTCCTATTGCTGTTACATGGCAGAAGAGGCCAACCCCACGTCAGCACGTCCTCTTTTCAGGTGGCTGTAAAGGAGTGAAGCCAACTGCTCTCAAAGGGAATGAAAAAAAGACTGCAAAAGTCACAGCATTTTTCAAGTAGCTGCAAAAGTTAAACTACACAGAATCACTTTACCACATACAACAACTACATTAGTGTAAATTAGTGTACCAACAACAGCACTCACCCCGCAGCGGTACACCTTGTTGGCCCGCTTGATCTTGATGTCCAGCGCCGTGCCCATCGCGCCCTGACGGGACGGGAGCGGCCCCTGCGGGAGGAAACCCACTCCCGTCACTGGCTTCCGCCCGCGGCGCTTGAGGCAGCTGGCGCCGCCAACATCCGGGGCTCCGTAGCGTCATCCCTCAGCTCGTGATTCTGCTTCCCTCCCCGCCCCTCCCCCGCTTCCTGGCACGGGGAGCGGCCCTAACGGTCGGGCTCGGCGCGGCCTGGGCGGGCTTTCCCGTGCGCAGCCGTTGTGCTGCCCGCCTCGGCGGGAACCGGGCGGGGGAGGAGAGAGGAAGGTCAGTGCTCAGCGTAATGCTTAACTGCATTACGCCGAAGGGAATTACAGTCTTAAGGAAAACATAAAGAGCTTGTAAATAAATACAAAAGGGCTGGAGTTGTCTCCGTTACAGTTACACGTACGACTCAGCACATTGCATTTCATAATGTGTGCAGGCTGCGCTCTGAAAGTTGTCAGCAATTTGTTTTATGAATTTAAGTAAGGCAATGCCTTGTAAAATATCAAGTGAGAAAATCTGTCAAAACAAAGACAAAAAATCTGAAGTAGAAAAATACCTGGTGGATTCACTTCAACTAATGAAGTGATTTGTCTGCCTCCACCTTGCACTGGTGCGGCCTCACCTTGGGTACTGCGTGCAGTTCTTGGCACCGCAGTACAAACAGGCCATAAAGCTGTTAGAGGGCATCCAAAGAGGGCTATAAAAATGGGGAAGGGTCTGAGGGAAAAGTGTACCAAGAGTAGCTGAGGCCGCTCGCTGTGCTCAGCGCAGAGCAGAGGAGCTGAGGGGAGGCCTGATGGCGGCTGCAGCTCCTCACAGGGAGCGGAGGGGCAGCGCTGAGCTCTGCTCTGTGTGACAGCGACAGGGCCCGAGGGAACGGCATGGAGCTGCGTCAGGGGAGGGCAGCTGGGGGCCAGGGAAAGGGGCTGCACCACAGGGCGGTGGGCACAGCCCTGATTGCTGGAGTTCAATGAAAGTTTGGACAATGCTCTCAGAAGTAGGGTTTGAATTTTGGGTGGTCCCTTGTGGAGGCCAGAGCTGGACTTGGTGATCCTTATGGTTCCCTTCCAACTGAGGATGTTCAATGCCTCTAATGCATGTGGCCATGTGTCAGCTCTGAGGGAAATGATTAAAACTCCCACAGATACGGAGCACAGGTGGTTAACTCTTGCAATTTCACTGGGTCCAGGACTCAGCCACCAATGTTATGTCCAAATCTACAAAGTGTGAATCCAAAGCATTCAGCTGAGATGTGGCAAATGCAGACCTTACCAGCCTCAGAGACACAACACCATTCTTTCCTCGTCCTACATGATGGGACCTTTTTCATTCACTCTTAAACAATTTCGTTGGTGGCAGGGGTGGAGGGGAGATGGGATCATATGTTTACAGAATATCCTGAGCTGGAAGGGACCAACAAGGGTCCACAATTCCAGCTCCTGGCTCCACACAGCACCACCTAAAATTCCAACCCTATGTCTGAGAGTGTCCAAATGCTCCCTCAACTCCATCAGCTCAGTGCTGTGACCACTGCTCTGGGGAGGCAGCTATGGTGAGCAGGCTTTACAGTGAATAACATGGATGTAGTGCATAGGTGGAAGGTAAAGACATTTGTCTGCAGTCTTGTCTTCCAATAAGGCTTTAGGTGGCCTGGAATAGAGTCATGGAATTGTTTCATTGGTGATATTGTGAATCCTTGAAGTCTAAATGCTAGGGCTGGTTTTCATCACCTGAGCTTACTAATTAGTATTATTTATTGCTATTCGCAGTGAAAATTGATAAATAATTTTTTGAGAGTGGCATTTGAAAATGAATAAGCATTCCAAGAATTCTGGAGTTATCTTTATTTTAATTTTATTGCCTTAGTATAAATATTTGTCCTTTTTTAGTTATTGGTATTTAGAAGATACATTTTCTTAGCTTCAAATAGCTCAAAAAATAAATACAAGTCCGGAGGTACCATGTCCTAGCAACAGCATGCAGAGATCATTCCTGAGCACGAATGGGCTCCAGAAATGGCAGGAGGGAAGCACTCAAGTGACATGAAGAACTCCAAGTTCTGTCTTTAGCTTTCTCAGCCATGTGAAGCCAAGAAGATGATTCTAGCCTGTCCCCTCTCACTCCTGTGCACACTTCAGTGCTAAAAGTGATGCTGTATTAAGGAAGAAGACCGCCAAAACACTATGCCATCTGTGCTGCTTAAGTACTTATGGAAAGCTTGGCCAAACAAACAAACAAAACCCTACAAAACAGTGCACAGTCATAATTAGCAGCATCTTTTGTTCTGGAGAAAGAGCAGAGACTGCTGCCATTAAACATTCTGCAGAGAGTGTTTCAAAGACAGAATCTAAGTGCTAAGAGAAAGGAATATTTAGTTACAAAGGATTAGTACTGTGCTTCATAGCTAGTCCCTGTTGCTAGTCACTTTGCAACAGGTATAAAGGAACTTATTTTTTCTATTTATTTTTTACCCCAACAAAGAAGAACTGAAAAGAGTATTTGCCCAGATAGTGCAGTCGTCTTCAGAGTATGTAGATTCTCTGCCATTGCTTTCACAATCAAGTATTTATTATCCTTAGGAAACGCTTGAAGGGACTTCAGTTACTTATTTCTAGGAACTGAGGTCTCACGTCCAGAAAAAGCTCCTGTTGGTACAAGCTGTAGTTGCCCTCCTGCCTAGCAACACTGATCATCACAAACAAATCCGTCTGGAGCACCCTGGCTCCCAATGCAGCAGTGTCCAAATACGGTCTCTGTATCAATAGTTCAGCAAGCTTTCTTTGTGCAGTTCTTCTTGCCAGCGTTGATGATAGCTTCTTCTTGACTGCAGTCTTTGATTCAAGATATATTCTGTTGGAGTAGTAGGCTGGTAGCTAAAATAGATCTGCAGATGCGGTCATCAGTGTTTCTAAATGTGTGGACTGAGTTAATACTAGTTAGAACATTTAGAGATGCTTTGGCCAGTTTGGAGACAAATACCATCCTCATCTCCTCAATTCACGTTTCCAAAATATGAAATCAATTTTTAATGTTTTTATTTATATATATAATGCTTTTAATTGTCCTTTCTCCTTTTAACCAGTTTTATTCACAGATTAGAAAAAAAAAAAGGGTTCATCATAGTCTAATCCAGCACTTTAAGGGGAAGATTGTGAGTCCCCAGGTGATCATTTCTTACATTATTTGTTTCTGTCATGCTACTAGTTACAGCCATAACTATGTTTATTCATAAGAACTGATCTCTTCTGATTGATCAAAGTCATAAATTTTCTCTACCAAATACATTATTTACCTCATAGGGAATTATTTTGAAAATTTCAGCAAAATGACAAACAGTTTAAGCTTTAGAGCAAAGGCTTGAAATTTGGCAGGGAGTCTTCTCATTGTCAGGGGATGCTTCTTCTGTCCACTTGAAAAATCCATTCCAAATTTGGAGAAATGATGAGACTGAAAATTTTAGGCTTTGTTCAGCCAATGGGAGGTACTTCATAGCATTGCAGCTTTATACACACCAACCACCTCCAGTCTGGAAGTGCAGGAGTGATGAAATGGGAGTAAGGGGTAGTGGGCTACGTGAAGGATTATTGCAGCATACAGGCTCTGGGCCAGGGCACCTCTCAATATTCCTTGGGTGTCAGCCAGCACTCCTGGTGCCTGGCACAAAGCAAGTGCCCTCCTGAGGGCAGGTCTTGCCACATGAAGGTGACAGCTGGTATTGTCCACAGTCAACTTAAGCAGCAGTGGTCCATGATGGGGATAAAGACATTTTTGTCCAAGGGATGAATGTGGGAATCACTGCTGTTCCATGTAGCAGAATCTGGGAGGGTTTTTTGTTGCTTCCCTCAGTTTCTAAGTATTCATAGGTACTAGTAAGACTTCAGAGTGAAAGAATGATAGGTTTGGTCATAATAAAGTTAAGGTTACTCTGCAGACTTCAGGTGCTCTCCGTGTATGCATTTCAATGAAAAAATCATACTAAATATTTCTGTTCCTCATAGTAGCTCTTTTATTTCCCTTCCCACTATTTTTTTATACATAGTTATATTTAGGAGATAGGATTTGATTTAGGAATGTAGAGGATACTGTCACAAGACAGCTCTTTATTACTTAATTCATACCATTGTTACTGATGTTGGTTCATGCAATGCTGCATTCAGCTACAAGAATAAGATTAAATATTTATTTTTATTGTTTATTCCTGTTTTTTTTTTGCTTTTTTTTTCCCCCCACAAAGAACTAGGGTACATATTTTGCTTTAATTCATATTGGATATAATTGTACTTGCAGAATGAGCCAAATGCAAACTTGAGTTTGAACTTCTGTCACTGTTTTTAAATTTTGTTGACCCTGAACAGGGAATGAACTAGGAGATCTCTTGTACAAGTTGAACCTAAACTGAAAATAAATGAAAAAATACATTAAATTCAGTAGAATGGCACATGCATTTATTTTAATTTACCTTAAAATATTATTTTAAGAAATATGTTTAAATTGTTCAGAATAGTCAGATTTCTTTTTTTGTCTCAACACAAGGCTGAAATTTACGCATTAATATGTATCACATTACTGCATTTGTAACTTGAAATAAGCAAAATATAACTGCCTTTGCCTAGAGAACAGCAATTTACTTAAGGAATTCAGTGGAAGAAGTTGTGCAGGTAATATGAAATCATATCTGAAAGTTCACTACTTGTCATCACAAGAATATAGAACACACACTGCTGAGGGAGATTATTAAGGGTAATAAAAGAGTTATTATAAATATTCATTCATTGAATAATTTTTAATTGCTTTATGGAAGCATATGCTTGACAAGCCAAAAAGAAATGAGACCTCAGGAGTGGAAAAGACATTCTAAGTAACACAAAAGTGCTGTACCTGATCCACTAAACAACATGGAGCATATTTAAATTCATTATCTTTGGTGCAGAAATCATGCCAAAGCCCCTCATCGCATCACATAAGTGTTTGGTAGGGCTCTTGAATGCTTCAGAAACAAGGAAGATAATGAAAAAGAAAAATCTCTATCCCACATAGGAGCATTAAATACACATTATATCTGAACCACATTTTCAGAAATGCTTCTCACTGCACAGAAAGTTATTTTTCTTTTAAAATTATCCTTTAAGATTTATCAGGCTTAGAAGAACCGTGCGGGATATAGACAAGGAAAGGTTGGAGAAGGCTAGTCAATGAAACTTAGTTGAAGAAGAGTCCGTATAGAAGATACTAAAGAAAGCCAGATAATACATAAAGACAAAAAAAAAAGTAAGAAAAAAAAAAGTGCTCATAGACTAGCAAACAATAGCCATAAAGTTGAAGGAGGTATGTGTACATACATTGTACTTATCAGTTCGAGGGCCTTACTCAGCTATTAGGAAGCAAAAAACATGAGATTCTGTGCTGTTGAAATCTTCAGAGCAATTTTGTGAGAACTGCAGTTGGCAGCATGATGAGAACTCCTCTACAAGGGGTAAAAACATTGCACACTGATTGGTCACAGGAAATGTGGGGGTACTTGTTGTGTCAGGAGGCAAAGCAGTGCTGGAAGCTGAGCTGTTGAAAAAACAGGAAATAGTTAAACACAGTTAATTCCATAAACAGGATAATATTTGGTTATGAATCCTGAAGGCTTTTAAGAACCAAGTAACATTTTTTCCACCAAAATGCATCATTTTTAACAGAATTGCCACAGATTAAATGCGATTAGCTTGTTTAAAAAAAAGGGCTAGAACTGAGTGAAGATTGCACCAAGCTTTACACTTCTCTCAAAAGTGTTAGGAAACACAGAAAATGACATTATGGAACATTGGGGGGGGGGGCGGCAAACAGACAACCAACAGTGCATAAATCGAAACAAGTTTTTATGTCTGACTGAGACATTCAATTGCTTTTTTTTTGTTGTTTTTGAAAGAGTCTCGTAGGTAAAGTAAATAGTGTCAGGCAATAAGACTTTATAATATAGAATAAGATAGCAAGCTTTAGAAATAAATTATATATATATCTTGTAGTGCAAAACATTAATAATGGGTTTTGAGAAATTCTGTACAGTGATGCAATGTTTTTATCTCAGAATAAAAGAGATATTGTTTTTTTCCTGATTTTTAAGTTGACAGTTATTAATTATAAAAGTAGCAGCTCTGACATTCACCCAGATTCTTTTCATTATTTCCTTTGCACACATTTTTTTTGGAGGATTTGTCCTGTGTGGAGCCAGAAGTTGGACTCAATGATCCTCATGGGTCCCTTCCAACTCAGGATATTCTACAACTCTACAACTCTCATCCACGATCACTAAACATTGTAAAGTTGTTGCTCAGTGTATACCTGGGAGCTGGATATTCCCTAACTCTCTGTGATGTGTTTTCCAACAAGTTTCATGGAGATAACAGGATTTTGGATCAATCAACTCATTAGTTTGATCTGGCTTTGTAATTTTGTTTATTAAGCCCACTGCTTTGATCAGATTACCATCATTTTCCCAGGAAACAAGCACGTGTTCTTGCTAATAATCCAGTATAAACCTCACATTTTACATCAGCTTTTATAATCAACAACTTTTGCATAGTTACGTTTTGTAGTGGCCTCAAAGGAGACTTGTATGTCACAGAACTTTTTCATTTTTTAAGAAAACTTGGTGTGACACTAGAAAAAGTAACAGAAATCGGTATCAGTAACTGATATCAATAACCTTGACTGTTAACATTTTTACTGTGATTTAGTTTTTTAAACTTCAAATGTAAAATCATGTTTATGGGTTTGTTTTTATTCAGTTATCTTTCCTTCTGCAATTGGAAAGGATTACATAAACTCAATGCCAGTGACTGGATATTCACAGCCATACTCTTTTACTCTTCTCATACTCTATTGGTGGACTGTGGAACTACCTAAGATAATAAATAGATTTTTTTTTAGCTTTCTTCTTGTAAATTAAAAATAACACTACGGAACTTGTTCCCTGAAATGGCTTTTTCCTTTCATGTGTTATAGCTACAAAGGCAATGAGATATCATTGCAAAATGTTGAGCAATGGCATGCCTTTTTAATGGCATATTTTTCTTAGTGTTTGGATGGCAGTAATTTTAAAATGGGGTAATGGACAGCACAGAAACTATACTTCTTAAAGTACAGATGGGTTCATAGCTTCTGTTACATCAGTAGCACAAAGGAAATTTAAAAAATGAGCTTGCAGAATGATTTGCAAGGCCGTGAGGAAACTAAACACAACACAGAAAACCCAAGCCCTCTCCCATCAGGTGTCTGAAGCTTTCCACAGGGCCTGTAGACCATGAACTACATTCGTGTTTTTGCATCTGTTTTCACAGTGCAAGGGCTTAGACAAACTCATGCCAGCACTTTTCATTATGAGGAATTCAGCAGATTTACCTCAAATTTAAATGTGGGGCAGAAGATGTTAGGGAAAAAACAAATAAGTGAGACACTGTGGGGACCAGATGGCCTCCCATGCTAGAGCTCTAAGAGGAATGAGGCATCTGAGAGTTGAAGTACTGAAGTGAGTGGCTCTGTTTTAAAACTCCTTTCCCTGGTAACTCAGTAGGGAATGTGCCAGCCAATTTCAGAAATGACTCCAGTGAAGTTGCAAGCAGCTATATAGAAGTAAGTTTGGTGTGCTGTCTGTCTGGACAAATAATCACAGAATCACAGAATGGCCAGGGTTGGAAGGGACTTCAAGGATCATGAATCTCCAATGCCCCTGCCACATGCAGGGCCACCAACCTCCCCATTTAATACCAGACCAGGTTGCTCAGGGCCCCATCCAACCTGGCTTTGAGCACCTCCAGAGATGGGGCATCCACAACCTCTCTGGGCAGCCTGTTCCAGCACATCACCACTCTTTCTGTAAAGAACTTCCCCCGACATCCAACCTAAATCTTCCCTCCCTCAACTTAAAACCATTTCCCCTTGTCCTGCTAAGTATTATCTGTATTATAAGTATTATCTGTCCTTAACAGAATCAATGGACGCACATATAAATAGAACATATTGAGGAAGACACAGCACAGCTTTTGTTACATTACCTCACATGTTGCAGATCTATAATTCTTTGGTAGAGTTAACATGTGTGGACAAGGAGAGCTCCTGTTTAAGGGCTATAGGATTCCCAGTGGCAATGGCAATGAGATCCCTAGACAAAGCTTCATTAAAAAAAAGAGAAAAGCAAAGGAAAAAAAAAAAAAAAAAGCCTTTATGCAATAAGAAGAAAAGGGAATGGATAAAAAAATGGCTAGAAGACAGGAAGCAGAATTAAAACAGAAATAAAGGTTAGCTTTCACAGAAGAGGAAGATCACAAGAGGAGTCTGCAGGGACCTGTGCTGTGACTTGTGGTACTTAATGTATTCATAAATGATCTGGAAAAAGAGAGTGAGCAGTGAGGTATCATAGATTGCTAACGATATTAAGCTATTCAGGTAAAGGAAAGTTAGAGGACAAATTGTGATGAAGTTAAAGTGGCTGTGAAGAACTGAAGAGCTATAGAAAGACTTTACAAGACTGAGTGACTGGATAATAAAACGACAGATAAAATGTGACATAGTTAAATGCAAAGTAGTGCACATGGGAAAAAAAATTATATATACAGTTGTGGACTATAAGCTGATTCTCCACTCACAAAAGAGATCTTTGGGTTCTGATGAATATTTCTCTGAAAGTATCTACTCAGTGTTCCCCTGTGTGCAGAGAAAGTAAATCAAATAGCTGAAATAATTAAGAGTGGAACAGAGAACACTGTAATACATCCACCTCCGTATCAATCCATAGTACACCGTGCATTGAGTAGTATGTTCAGTCCCTTTCCTTACATCTCAAAAAGGGCATAATAGAGCTGGGAATGATTCAGAAAAGGTTTGATAAGGACAACTGAAGAAACATAATGGTTCTGCATGAGACATACCTAAAGGCTCTTCAGTCTGAAAGACAGATGACTGAGGAGAGACATGACAGAGGTCTATAAAATCACCAGTCATAGAGAAAGGATGAATGTGGAGACACTGTTACTGTTTTTCCAAAACAAGTTCAAAGGATATTAATGGAATTGTTAGGAAATATGCTCAAAACAAAAAAGAAGAATTCTTCACAGGATATTAAGCTGCGGAATTCTTTGCTGAAAAATACTATAAGATGTTGCAAGATGTTAAAGGTGTAGGAGTTAAAACCCAACAAATTAACAGAAGAAAATTCCACTAAATGTAAGGAAGAAACATTATTCACACTGCAGAAGCCTCCAAACCACAAATCAGTGGACACTGGAGTGCTTGGGGACAACACATGTACCTTACTCTTACGCTAGATATGCTCTATTGCTGTTGCTGGAAACCAGATAGTAAACTAGATGAGTTTAAAGTTCACAGTATAGCAGTTCGTCATGCACATACCACAGAAAAGATTCAGACACCACAAGATTTACCATTATGAAACGATTCAGAGTCATGAAGGATTAGGAGAAACACTGATAGCTTCTGGAAGAAAAGAATCTTAATCCATAGAGCAGAAAAAAATAGTGTCAAAAGCAGTTAAGCAGTTAAAGTCAGCCACCCACGTGTAATAACTAACACTGTGTCTTTGCAGGAAAGGAACTCTGGTGTCTGTGGGTTCTGCTGGTCATCTCTGGGACAGTTGTTGGCTCCAAAGTCGTGCCACTCTGCAGGGGAAGAGAATTAACTTTGAAGGCAAGAATAAGAAAGAAAGAATACATGGCAGAAGAAAGGCTATCACTTTGTAGGACAGGAGGCCACTTCAACATCCTTCTCCAGAGAGAAATGGAAGATCTCCATGGATTGTTCAAAACATTGTATTATTCAGGTGGGCACTGCCATTATGAGAAACAGAAAAGACAGGAGTGCAACTGTGGGAGGCAAAAATGCAAGAGGGTGCATGAATGTTGCATGACTAAGAGAAAGGAGATGTAATTTCCTCCCTTTGTATTTGCATACACAGAACTTCTTTTAGATGTATGGTAGAATATGGTAGAATATTATGATTCAGCCTAAATTTAAGCCTTTCTATTCAGCTGCATGAAGGTGGCTTGAAGGCTGACTGTACAGGAAATGTTCATCTTACCTCCGCTGTTTGCACATTCTCCAGATTCTAATGCTTGCTGCTTTGAACTGTATTAGCTAAAGTTGTAGTTGAATGTTCTTCTTTATCTTCTTTTTTCATCACTTAAAAATCTTTTCACAGTAAAGCTTTGTGTATTTTGTTTCAACTCAAAAGTTACTGAGAATCTTAAGGGAAAACATTTTTTACTTACATAACATGTAGGAAAATATATTTCCACGAGCCTCTGACTCAAATGTCACACAAACATAATGCAAAATAATAAATTTGGAATCTAAGTCTGAAAAAAATAAATAAATTTAGTATTTTGGTGGTGCAAGTATTTAAAATTGAAATATCCATATTGACGCAGAAAAAAACCACTATTCACTCCAGGTGACATATAGCAAAAATTGTTTGTAGAGCTATATGAGCACTGAGCTGCTACAATACTGATGGCTCTCACTGCGAAGTTCCCTCACACAGCTTAGCAATGGCCTTAAAGAACTTTTGGTTTTAACTGTTAAAACTATAATTGACATTTCTGTTGCAAGTGCTGTGCCATTTTGGAGGTGGTAACTCCAGAATTCTATCCAAGAGGGGACTGGAAAGGTGACTGTATTTAGATTAGGCTGCTAAACTGTGATCCGTTACCACACATATATAAACTCTATATCAGACAACAGATCTTGACACTTGAATAGGAATATGGCTAATTTACAAATAATTTTATTTGAAGTAATGTAATTCTATTAAGTAATTCTATTAGCCATAACAGGAAACATTTAAAAGAAGGGGTATTTTGTGCATCATATCAGAACTACAAGTTGCTTCTGTTGGTTCTGAAGGAGCAGAGACTTCTCACGTGTTCTCTCCAAACTAAGTGTGGCTCAGTCACTACACAATTTTGTGATACAGTGGTAAGCTGTTGCTGAAAGCCCTGTTTTCTACAGTTTGTGATACTCTGTTGGGAAAAAGAACTACAAATGCCTGGAAACTTTCCCTAGTTCTGAAGAAACTTTCATGCTTTTTTTCTTTTCTTCTGTAGACGTGTACAGTGACACTTGTGTGTTGGGTGTAACAAAACTGTGTACTGTCTCTTTGGCTAAGCAGTAGATGAGGCCTAGAGCTATCTGGGATTTGGGCAAGAATTAACAACACTGAGCTGGGTTATTTACCGTAATTTATTATACACTGATCTTATTGCTCTAAAAAGCCACATGAAAAGGACAACAAAAAGTTCCTGCTTGTGAAAAACTAGGATTGGAATAATTTTGCAGTTCTCAACTCTTTAAACTGGCATTTTGTCTGCAGTTGCTTGTAAGTGTCCAAAACTGAAATATTACCTTTCCCAAACTAACCCCAACCTCTCCCGATTCCTTTCCTCTCCCTCTCAAAAATGGGAAAACAAACAAACAAAAAATCAAGCCTGAAGGAACACCCGGAATCCAAAATTTCTTCCAAGCCGTTGAAGGTTGGCAAAACTACAAACAATGGAAAACAAACAAACAAACAAGGATTAGCTGGTTGTTTGCCTCAGCCTGAATGTTCTGGAGAGAAAGAAAAAAAAAATGCCAGAAAGGTTTCAGCCCTTTCTCATGATGAAGTTAGAAGGACATATGTATATTATTTTAAATTTCTGTAAAATCCTAAGTCTATTAACTGAAAACACTGAAAACAGCTCTTAATATAGGTGCTGCCCTGATGTGAGAGAATTGTTCTGTTCCTTTCCCATCACGGGTGCTCAAGGCTCTGAACACCATGCACACAAGTACAGCGTGCCCAAGACATGTGACGTAATGCACATGTGCAGACGATGGCTCTGTAGCACACACACAGAGTTTGGTCTCAGTGATTACATGACGTACACAAATCGATTACATTCAGTGTCAGGCTTATTGAACCCATGGGAAACAGGGACTCGGTTCTCGTGCCAGGGCTTAAGGAGACTCAACCCTTCCTATTATCCTCCTGTGGTCGAAATGATGAAAGCCTGAAGAATCATGGTTGTCTGTGCACTGTAGGAACTTTACACTGATAAATTCCCAACTTCCTTCTCCAAATAATAAGGCAGTGGGCTAACTGGCATTACTTGTTCCAGCATTTGGTGGCATCTAAACTCTGCGCATCTACAGGGAGAACATTTCTTTTGTCTCTTTAGCATTTCTGCTGCTGTGAAATATATTAGGTTGAACATGGAAGGATAAGAAGTAGGGTTACTTTGGGCAAGAGGATAGGTACAAATAGGAGAAGAAATATCTCTGGAGTGTAGGCCAGATGATACAGGAGTTTCAGCAAAAGAAGTAATAGTGAGATTAGCCTCGAGCCTCTTGCTGCTCTTGCTATGCTTGCCGGATTACTTCTATCAGTCCTTGCTTTTACATCTTAGATACAGTCTATGGTATTTTGCACTATTAGGACTCTGCCTAATTTAATAACGAGCATATAATTCTCAATTCTGAGTCAGACCCAGAAGTATACTGTTCAAAATGACTATGTGGGCTGGTATAAAACAGCAAGTTAACTATGGCAAAGGCCACAAGCTTCTAGTGGCTTCTCTCGTATGAGCTCCCACACGGAAAGCAAGGCCTAATCATGCCTTCACTTCAGGTAGAGACAATCAGAGGTAGGGAGGTACCTGCCTTTTTAGGGCTGTCTGTTGAGCCAAGATCAACAGATGTTGTGCTAATAGCACGCTGGGCCACTTCCCACAGCACAGCTCAAGTGTGACATCTTATTTTGTCTGCTTGAGCATTTGACCAGGTTAGCCAGCTTTTTGGTGCAGCTGTGAGGTGCATGTTGTTCTATTTGGTGGCCACAACCATTAACCCAGCAATTAAGAGTAGCATTTAGAACAGCTAAGTACTAGGAAGGAAGAGTTAACAATTATAAAATAGAAGACCTAAGTAACATGGTAGTCTGTGCTCCTTTTCATGTACAAAATAAAAGAGCACACTCTGCCCATTCTGGATATAAAGTACTGGTGTATCTAAGCACTGGTTTTGTGTGTCTCTCACAATTGGCTCTGTGTAATTAACATTTTATTAAATGACTGTGAATATATGAAGGCTGCTCTGAAACTAATGCCTCCTATTTTATTATGTTGGCCCATGATGTCAGAGGAGCATGTTGGTGGTGAGGCAGTAGAGGTTGAACCTTCCCACCAATATTCCATTACATTTAGTTTCCATGTGACAGAGGCAGCAGAGGGGCAATCTGTCTAAACGGTGTCAAACATGGAAGTGTGTATGAATCAAAGATGTTTGCTAGAATGTCTTCATGTGGAGAAGATGGAACTCGGTGATATTCATCAACACCTGCTGAACGTTTATGGAGATCAAACAGTGATATGAGCACAGTGAGGGGTGGGTGGTATGCTTCAGCAGTGCTGACAGTGACAGTAGGTCACTTCTGCTGGTGCAGATTTTCACAAGCATGGCATACAGGCTCTTGTTCAACACTGGCAAAAATGTAAAGCTAGGCAGAAAAAATAGTATTCTATAGCTGGGAATCTGCTCTATCAAACAATAGTATTGTGCTCTTTGTATCTGCTGCAGTTTCCATGGAAATAAGTAGGAGGCATTACTTCTGGAGCAACCTACATATTCTAGTTCTTCAGAAGAAGTATTCAGACTTCTAAGTGTCAAATATGGGTTTTACATTGAATAGTGGTGTACCTAGAATAAACTTAAAAAATGAGTTACATTATCTTTTACATTGATTTATATAGATATATATATATTAATTGTATTTATATTATATTACTGCAGACTCATCTTGATTAATGCAAGATAAAGTTGTGTAAAAAAACCCAACTTTTAAATAAATGTCTTTGTGAGTTCTTCTGCAGTGGGATTTTGAAGTAACCTTTCACAAGTTAGTTTAGACACTGAATTTTCTATGTGCTTTCCATTTATCTTTATTATAATTTCTAAATTTGAATTAAATTTCAATTAAATTATGTTCTGCCTGAAATTTTGCTACAGAAGTCCAGTCTCACATAACTTTGTAATATCTTACAAAAAAAACCAACAACCCACTGTCGATTATATGCAAAACTTGGTTGAGGCTTACTGTGACAAACTGTTCTATGACACGTAGGTTGGAAGGGTGAAAAAATGGATCTGAGGTAGTTTTTTTAGCTTTTGTTTTTCATGACTGAATTTTATATATCAAGAGATAAAGTTTATGTGCTACAAGCATAACTGTTATGTGCTAAAGCTTATAAACTTGATGATGTGTGCACTCATAAGCATGATATTCTGTGCATTCATAAACTTGATAGGCCTTACGCATAAAGATATCTGGATTTATGCTAATTTTATTCTCCAGAAGGGAAAGAATTTATGAGCAGTGCACTTAACACAGAATGCAGAAGCAGAGATGTAGTTTTGTGCAATCAGTGTCATAGTAAGAGAGAAGGGAGCGCCTCTTCAGATAAAGGTGAGCTGAACAGGATCAGTACTATTCACACGTGTGACAGAAGTAACAGTAGAGGGGCTAAGATGGGCTAGATGCCAACATGCAGCGTTGGACAGATATTTAAAGTAAAGCTAAGATTTTATGCAGCAATGTACTCCAAACATGTTGATGCTAATAACACTTTACCATTTTTAGGCAATCAGTAGCTACGACTTTGTTGGTGTGTAAACATATCCTAAACAAATCCATGTGACTACACGAGTTCCAAATAGCTGGAGAATGCTAGCCTTCTAGTCATACATATTGTGTTGTCAGAGACCTACTCAATATGCAAAGCCTGGAACTGACCTTAATAAAAAAACATGTGATCCTGCAGAGGAAAAACTTCTGCCCAGGTATCTGTTCTGTAATGCTCATGGGCCAATTTTTAGCCAGAATATATTGTCAAAATCTGGTTGATCTCAGGTTTTCTCATGCTGATTTGAATGCAATTCAAGCCACTTTTTCATAGAATCATAGAATTGCTCAGGTTGGAAAAGACCTCACATCAAGTCCAATTGCAATCTAACCATAATACTCTAACAACTTTTTGCGAAAGTTTTTTTCTCAAACACATCTGTACTAAATAAATGAACCATCAGACCTCTTGACTTCAGGTGATGAGGAAAGAACATGCATCAGCCCAGGTTTGTTTCTGGTGGGCTGCAGTCCTTGCAGGTTTTTGTCATTTCCTGAGACTGAAAGCAATCATTTGTTCAACTTTTTTTTCCTCTTCTCATACTGGAAGTACAACTGGCTGGTAACTGCACATCACAGTCCCAGCACAAGGAAATTTAGGATGGAAGTCACTAAAATTGACACGAGGACAGACAATCCCGTAGCCATTTTAAGAAGAGTAGGGATGGAAAACTCTCTAGAGAACAGTCATAGAGAATAATAGAACCATAGAATCGTTAAGGCTGGAAAAGACCTCAAAGATCCCCCAGTCCAACCACCAGCCCACCCCCCCCACGCCCACTGCCCACGTCCCTCAGTGCCACATCCACACGGCTCCTGAACACCTCAGGGACGGTGACTGCACCACCTCCCTGGGCAGCCTGTGCCACTGCAGCACCGTTCTTGCTGAGAAGAAATGGTTCCTAATATTCACCAGAACCTCCCCTTGCACAACTTGTAACTATTCCTTCCCATCCTATCACTGGGTGAAGAGGCTGACCTCCACCTCACTACAACCTCCTTTCAAGTGAGTGAAGGGAGCCCCTGAGGCTTCTCATATCAGCATACCTTACTGCAAACCATCTGGTGAACTTGTGGACTCATCCCCTCACTCTTGTACCTTCAGAGAGAACTGAGACCTGACTTGTCTACATGGAGAGCAGACTGGCTGACCTGCTTGCACAGGATTGTTTGCATGATGTTATTCTTCCCATGCCAGTCTCAGATTAGTGCCCCCATGCGTGTTTCCCCCACAGATGCTTGTGACATTCCGCCCTCACCAGACTGTCACAGCCAGCCTGCGGAACTTTCAGAAGGAATACTTATGGGATATCCTCATAGCAGCAGAAAAACCCTGCCCAGCAGCCGATCCGCTATTTTAGTAACTCCATTCTGGCAGGACTGTCTCTGTGGGACTTGACACCACAGGCCTGGTTGGCCTCACTACTGGCATGCAGTAGTGATCATGAGGTGGGCCAGAGCATTCACAGCATAAGGTCAACATCAATCCTGCTTGTCTTGCCAGTTTCCCTGGAATAACTTGCTGAGGTGAAACTGCAGGCCCCTAAAAAGCATGCCCTACAAAAAAAAGAAAAAAAATAGGAGTGTTGGCCCACGTAGCAATTAGCCTACATTTGTGATGCCACAGAATATGCTCCAGGGCCAAAAGAGTGTGGCTAGACAAGGAACTGATTCTGAAACATATGTTATAGGAAAATAATGTATACACAGCTGAGTTATTTTACACGCATAGTAAAAAGAACAAATTCATTTCATTCTGGTTTTATAAGGCTGAGTTAACTTCTTGATCGGTCCCTTAGCCCATCCCTCATCATAATTTTTTAACTCCTAGTAAGATCACAGATTCACAGATGACTCTTCTGGCAGAGATCTCACATAAGAGAAACACAAAGTTAGTATTTGGTGAGATGATTGATCCTGGTCAGTGAGTTAATAATTTTTCACTATCAGAAAAGCTGAACCACAGTCTTAATTGTTAATGCTCCAGGTTGGTGTGCCAACTGGCCAAACTACACCCATAAACTCTGAATAAATCCTAGTTCACAGTCACCTTTGCTCAAAAGGGTCACATGCTGAAGCTTTGGGGTCATTTAGATGTGAGTGAAGTGTTATGATTAAATTAACTGAATGTCTTTTGTGTGTTTCCAAACACAGGGAAAACACATTCCTCTAGAAGCTGGAAATTGAAGATGCAGAGGAATTCCTAGATGGGACATACTTGAGACTGTGTCACTTGACTTTCAAAATTATTAAAGAATCACAGTTCTTCAAATTTCCTGATTTTGATGGAAAACTCTCCTGCACTCATACAAATTTATGCATCATGGAAAGTGGTTTCAAGAGAAGTTATATGGTACAACTTTAAATTACACTTTTTCTCTGCAGTAACACAGCCTCTTTCCTAGAGGCTTTTACCCCAAGATTCCATTGTCTTGGGGAAGAACTTTGAAACTGGAGTGAGAACTTACCATATTTAGAAAAGAGATCTCCAGCCTGCCTCTTTACAGAGTGAGAAAAGCAAGGAATACCTAACAACCATTCAAGAGAATATCAGAGAAAATTCAAGGAGCTACACAATGTGTTTTTTTTTTCTTTTTTTTTTTTTTTCAGCAAGCCTCATCCTGCAGCAACAGCAGCAATTCCAGGACCTTCTGGTCCAGAGGCGTGCCAACCTACACAACATGCAGTACTCACTGTCAATCCAAACCCTGTGCTATCAAAGCCAGGCTCTGGTGATGACTCAAAAGCATATCTATCTGCATTCAGATAAGTTACTATGGCAACCTCTCTGGCCTAAAAAGAGATGGACCACATTAGTTACTTAGCAGCACCTTTTTGACAGGCGAAACACAAGCTGCTCATTCCAGATGATGGTTTGATTTAGAATTAAGTCTGTCTGAGCGCTGCTGTGGAGTTCTCTGAAGTGCTAATGATGTAACCCAGAGAGAAGATCTTCTTTTGGGACTCAACTTCAGACTGCGGCCTAAAGGGACTGAGCTATATGGTGGCTTTGCCTGAGAAACACAAGTTAACAGAACAGCTGACAATCTTTTTCCCACATTCTGAAGAAATTCTTTCTGAAGATCTTCTAAGCGCGGTCGGCTGGGCTAAGACACTCTTGCAGAAGATGTGTAGGATACCAAGGATTACTTGAGTTGCTGCTGGCACAAAACATCTTCTAGATTGAAGTACATATTCAAAGTACAAATAATAAACCCTGCAGAAGTCGGAGTTCCCATGACTGATATGAAGGAAGCCTGGAGTTCTAACAGAAATGCATGCATTCCAAATGAAAAACTGCATGGTGTGAGGGCTCTTTAAGTTTTGGATTAGGGAATGAAGACTTCCAGAGACTAGGTTGGAGAGGAAAATGGACCCCTCAATGAATCAAGACTGAAAAGAGAAAAAGTTGGACATATTACCCATAATCATATTCCACTATCAGGAACCACTATGTGGTTAAAAAACAAACTAAAAACAAAGCACATCCATAGTCCAAAGCAGGAGAAAGATATGGAACCAGGCCATTAATATACCAAGCAACTTCTATAGACTTGGGAAGTACTCAGCTCCCTAACTAGGAAAACTTTTTCACCCCAGAAACAATAGAAATAGTCTTACTGATACAATGGTTGTTCAGAAGTCCACATAGATGTCTGCTGACATAGCTATACTGCTTTAAGCCTATGGCGGAATGCTTGGTTGAATAACTAAAACGCAATCTTAATATACTAGTTGTTTGAGTAGGGTAATGAAGCCCTGGTAATCCATACAAAGTGAGGAAGGTTTTGAAATCACTTGTTGCTTCCAACTTTTGTGAATCAAGATAGGCAAATCTGGCATTGCATGTAGACTAGTAGACTGTACCCATAAGCAGAGGCAAACAAATGAAGTAACAAATAAAAAAGCAGAACTGGTGGCTAGAGAGAGCTCCATGTAGTCCATCCATTAACAGTACGTGTCACTTGACTTTCAAAATCATTAAAGAATCACAGTTCTCCAGCCAGTTCATGTTAGTCCACCACTTTAGTACTGTTTCCTAAATAATAGTGTCAACTACCAGAAACAACTATAAAACAAGTAGACCTAACAGATCTTTACTAAACTTTACTAAGTACAAGCTTCAAAGCATGAGAAAAATGTAATTTTCACCAATTCACTGATCTCCCTTCTATTTCCTTGATAAAAGGGAGAGTAAATAGAAACATGAATATTTATTTGTGACTTTACATTCATGTTTGTGCCATATCATATGGTTCTTTCTTTGGATGATAATGTATGCATTTTTTTCTCCCTAGTAGCAATAAGTCATCAGTCTGGCAAACCCTCATTGCTACAGCATACTTTCTGTGACAGTCCTGCACCTACAGGAACTTTTGTATCCTCTGAGTTCCACTTGCAACCATTTCTGCACTGGTCCTCAGTCTTCTCTGTTGGCAGCATAGATGCAAGTGCATGCCAGCAAAACAGAGGAAGAGAGGAAGGATTGTATTTCTCAGCATGTTGAAAGACAGGCAGAAGGAGAGGTGGAATAGTCACTATATTTGACTCTAAGGTACATTTCTGTCCCATTAGGATACTGTAATTCAGCATTTTGGATGTTGCACACTGTGTTCACTTAGTTCACCTACTGAACTAAGAAAACTTTTATATTGCTGTGCTTTCTTCTACATCTATTCTGTTTGTCATGTATGTTGTAAATTATTTTCTCTCTCAAATCTTATTCCTCCCTGTTCTCTACGTGTTTTATTTATTGTAGTTCTTTTCAACCTCAAATATTGAGCTTTCTGGTGCAGTTTGTCTTTTGGGAAGAGAAATCCAACCAGGTATTCCTTATGAGCCCATCATCTTATTCTTAAGAAACATAACGCAAAATCCTGTTTTAAAGTGTGACAGTGAAACACCAGCCTTTCTCTTCTAGCTTAGGGTATTCTGTCATTCTACAAACTGCATTTGTAAAGCCATGAGGTATTTTGGTGATGTAATACTTGGCTGCTGCTATACCTATCTGCCTATCTCTGGCCATTTATTGCCACCTTCTCTGCTGCAAGAAAAAACTTTAAGGTAGTAATAAAAGCTAAGGGAACAGGTATCAGCAACGTGCCCTCATTTTCTCAAGGAGGCTGTCTGGAAGCTAAAAAAAACCAAAACTGTCACAGGTTAGAACTAAAATGTATAGGCCATCCTTTACTTTCTGATCTTTGTGAGCACTCCAGAAACAAATGAAAAACCAACAAACCAAACCCCAGCGCATGTTTAGGGCGGCTGTGTGCAACAGCCCATACGGAAGCACGAAATGGGGAGGTTAGTGGCCCTGCATGTGGCAGGGGGGTTGGAGATTCATGATCCTTGCTCCTGATCCTGGAGGTCCCTCCTAACCTGGCCATTCTGTGATTCTGTAAAGCAGCCTTCCCTCAGGAACCCGTGACTCCCTTCACAAAGCGCACGGCAGAGCCAGCTCCTCAGCGCCTTTCATGTGAGAGGAACAGGTATTTTTTTAAGCGGGAACGAGCTCTGCCTGCCCGAGCCCTACCAACCCGACCCGCCGGGGGGCGCCACAACCCGCGCCCCCTCCGCGCTGCCGGCGGCCCCTGCAGGCTGGGGAGGCGCCACCATTGTGGCGGGCTGCGTCTCCTCAGCCGACCACCACCTCTCCC